ATATTTCAGCACTAAGGCATGTATGAAGATCTCTCACAGCTTCTGTGCAGCAGGAAACCTTTGTCCCACACATCTTGTAAACGCTGCGGGGGGCCACCATTGTGCCGTGCATCTTCAGAGCACCGCAGGAGGAGTCTTTTGTCTGACACAGTGGGCATTCACTGTAGGAGGGCACCTTTGTCCTGCACAGCCAGTAACCGCTCTGCAAGAGTGAATTATGGTGATTGCACAGTTCTTCTCTCTCCAGACACTCTGCTTTCAGTTGGAGGAATTTGTCAGCCTTGCTAGGTGAAGATCTGCTTTTTCTGAGTGGAAGTGAAAAGGGAAGACAGTGAAAGTACCTTTGCATGCATGTGTGCAAATGGCCATCAGGATCATTCACACAGACATATTGTATGACCACCCCTACAGGCACCATTCCCAGTTTCAGTCTTTGCTTTTCCTCTTCCCTAGTTTTCCTATGCATTTAGGCTGCCCTTTTAATTATTATTTCTTTGTTCCATATGTTTTTACTATCTCCTATTCACTATGCTACTCCTGTATTCGGTATCTATAGTCTCAGTATTCTTTCAGGTGACTAATAACCACATTTAAAAGACTTGAGCCCAAATACCAATCCTTCTGGAACTTCACAGGTATTCTTTCAACCCCATATTATTACTTATTGTTTGTCTTCTCAAATGCTTTAGCCACTTCTCCAAAAGTGTGCAAGCGCCCATTTTCTAGGGTCTGAGATAATGTGCAATGGGAGAGGCATAACTCGGCGTCTTTGAGATGGGATGGGATAGGATGGGATGGGATGGGATGAGACGAGTCTGGACTCTGTAGAGATGAGATGTGTACTGCAGCTGCTGCTGGTGTTCATGCTGCTGGCAGCTAGAGCCAGCGCAGGTCTGGCAGCACTCATTTGGGAGCTGCATTACTGTAGATCTCAAGTGTTTGGGGACCCCTTGACTGGCATAAAGCAACTGATTTGCAAGTGAGAGGCAGGAGTGACCATAGCCCATTAGAGCACTGAGGGTCATAATCCATTTTAAGTGATTACATTGGTTCCCACTGCCTCAAGGTTGCCACACTGACCTATGTTGAAAACACAGCAGTGGATAAGTCTCTCACCTGCTGATTTTTGTTATTCATTGAAGTTTGGGTTTTATCCGTTCTTGTCAAATTTGAGCGTCTTGTGTCTGCTGTTATTCTAGAGGTACTTGTAGTTTTTTATAATGTTGATCTCTTTATTTACTAGTATTCAGACATGAATTTTATGTGTGGTAGTTAGTTTCAATTAATCCTCTTTTTCTCAAATTAGAAATTTTTTTTCTTCTCATTCCCACCGTAGTCCTCTGGTGCCTACCTGATTGTATATGAATACTCAGAAATAATTGCCAGTAGTCCAGCAAGTTCATTAACTGATTCCCTGAAGACCCACATATGCATGTCATCCAGACCGATGAATTAAATTTTTAAAAGTATTCCCTCACCTGATTTTTTGTATCTACAACAGTATTGGCAAGTCTTCATTATTTCTAATTATTTATCTCTTTGTGGTGCTTGGTAAATTGATTTTGGAACTTGTTCACTGTTTTACTGTCATTAGTCATTTCACCTCACACATTATTGGTTCCACCATCTCTTTGGAGCTCCTTTCCAATGATATTATGTACATGTTAAAATATATATTCATTTCTCCCTACATCTGTCCATGATGGCAAATGGCAGGCTGGTTTTCTTTTCAACATTTCTGTCATTTATCTCTGTGAGGCTGGGACTAGGAGGGATTTATACTTTTTTTATATTTAGCCTTTGCATATTTTAGAGTATTCTAGCTGTTCCCACACTTAACAGGGTTTTTGTATCTTTTCCATGCAGCATGCTCCTAAGATTTCTTCAAGAATTAATATCTGAAATCACTACACATTGTGTAACTGCCCATCAATTAATACAATATATTGAATCGTGGTTTATCATCATGACTGTTGAAATTAGTGAGTACTAAGAATATATATCTTGGAGGACCTTGGCTTCAGAACAACTGGTTCTTATTGTCTGTCTCTTAAAAATTATTCTTTCTATCAAAAAATAGACGGCTGTTCATGCATTTAATTTAGGTCTCTGCACTACTAAATACACAATTGAAATTGCAGTCATCAATGATATTTTTCCTCTGGCAAAAATCTTACGGCCAAAATCTGTTGTCACCCTTATAATTCCACTTGTTTCAGTTGAATTTTCCAAGTCTTTGGTATATAAATCATAAATGCACAGTGTGTGCAGTGTTAAATTTTTAGGGCTTTCCCTTTAGTAGCAGTTGAATGTGAATATGTAAGGGCAAAATTTGACCTTTAAAAATGACTGTAAAGGGCCAAGGCAGATACTTAGCAAGCTTTTCATATTGCAATATTAATCAAGCAAAGAATCATCATAATCCTGGAAACTAAATATCCATTGTAGTGATTTTATCACCAGGGAAATTGTTCATCTGCCAGTAAGATTGTTACTAGGAAAAGGAAAATAGAGAGTGTTAAAATTGCTTTAGACTGCTGAATCATTGAGTCCCTCTAGACTCAAAGCTTGAATTGTTTTTTGAGAAGAGTGGGTTGAGAGGAGTTGCCGCAGGAAAGCTGTAGGTTAATCAGTTTCAGTAACACTAGTGAATGTGAACATGATCTCACCTGGGGACATGAGGAAAGTGCATGGGAGAAGGCAGGATGAAGAAAGACACAGGGAGGCTTCAAAAACTTACTCTTTTTTTTGTTTTGTCATTTGTTTTTTTGTTTTGTCTTTTTTTTTTTTGTTTCTGGATGACCCTTTTACAGAGGAGGAAGCTTGTTGATGAAAAAGGAAGAAAAGGGGGAAAGACCCCATAGTATTCACAGCCTATATTTTCATCCTAATCCAGTGGATATTAATGAGGACTATTACAATCAAGACAGAGAATGCAGACAGGCAGAAGTGAGAAAGATATATTTGTGTGGGAGATGTCAGTGTAGGGACAAGAAAGTCACATGGAAAGATGTTTTGCCTTCAGGGCTCAAAGAGGTGTTCACCATATGCTGTCACACAGGCATGTAGGGAGGTGAAACCCCTGTGCAGGCATGTCCTTACAGTATGTTAGGACAGCCTATCCTTCCATAAAATCAGCTTTGGTAGATGACTTTAGTGTGCTTGGTAGCAGTGGGCAGTTATAGTATACCAAGCCTAGCCATAACCTCAGGGACGTGTCTGTTAGGCTGCAGATTTTGCTAGAAGGGAAGCTTTATCCTTCTGCATTGTTGGGCTACGTCTGTGTTTACCAGGTGGGGAACAAGTCTTGATAAGTATTGCTGTGAGGTGTCTTACAGGGGATGGGATAGGTGGTCTCTATTGAAAGCCACCTGCAGGATAGAGTCATAGAAACTTTTAGGTTGGACAGGACCCTTGAGATCATGGTGTCCAACGCAACCCAGCACTGCCAAGTCCAACACTTAATAGGATGGACTGCGTCTCAGCAAAAAGAATTTCTAGAATGATGGGTGAATTTGAAGGTGGAAAGCATTTGTATAAAAGGAGCATGTGGGAAATTCATGGAAGATGTCATGAATTGTCTCTGTACAATGAGTATGGAGAGGGAGAGGAAAATCTGTGTGTGCACATGACGTGGGTGCTCTTTGTACAAAAACATCTCTTTGTGTGAGAAGTAGTGTCTTTCCAGAGAGGGTTTTTTGGAGGATTGTTTTGTTTGTGTGATAGCTGCCTTTGAGGGAGCAGGGACATCCAATGTGGCAGGTAGTGCCTCCATCAAAGACTTTCTGAGAGGGATGCTGTGTGTGACCCACCAAGGATGCTTCATGGATGGATCCTGAGGGGGATGTGAAGCTGGTTTTGCAGCAAATGCCATGCCAGAGCAGCCATCCCATATCCCCAGTTACTGATGGCCACCCTGTGTCCTGCAGGGACCATCATCCACCCTGGATTGCGTCCCTCTCCACCTGCCAGGCTGTGGCCACTGTGTCCCTCATTGTTGTCACCCTCAGATTGTGATACTGTCACAGAACTGTTGCTAGGCAACAAATGTGGTTGCTGGGTCTCAACGAATAGCTGAAGGGGAAAGTGAAGTGTTGCACCATTGTAGAGTAACCATAGCAATGACCTACTATCACTGACTAAAGAATTATCATTAGCAATGTTAAAGTATCAAACAGAGGCCCAAGATCCAAAGACTACCAGGCAGCATCTCTGCATAATTGGGTTACCCAGGAAGGTCCCAACTCTTTCACGCCCCTTGGCTCCTTATCTCCATTGTCTTGGTTTTGTTTTGGGGGTTGGTGGTGGGGGGATGGAGGAGGGAGTGTGGTTGTTTAAATAAAGCAAATGTGTTTGGGAAGGCAGTTGCAAAACAACAGAAGCATAAGCCAAAATAAAATACAGAGGTAAATCAGTATGCACAGGAAAGATATAAACAGGAATGGTCGACTTTACTGTCTCAATATTATCTGTGGGAGCAGGTGCACAAAGGATGCCTTCATGATGCATGAGATGTGGTTCAGATCAAGTGTTCTCTTTCACTTGAAAACAGATATGCCAGGCTGAAAGCCATATAAAATGAAAAATAAAGAATACAAAGTAGGTCTGAAAAGCAGACACTTACTTTTTGCCAAGGTAGGCCAGATAGGTGAGGTGCTTCAATGAAGCTTTTTATTAGCAGAGTGCTTTGGGACGTTATTTTCCCAGATACGAGACATGTTGAGGATCTCTGATTATGATGTGGGTGGCTGTGCATGTGCGTATGTGTATGTTTGTGCATGTGTCTGTTTGCATGTGTGTGCTGTTGTTCTTGTCAGCTGCCCCAGAGCTCAGCAGCAGGACAGCTCTGACCCTTCCCAGGCTCCCTCCAGACCAGCTGCAGCAGCTGGGTGTTTTCTGTGAGTTTTGAATTTTTTGCATTTTACGGAGCATTTATCCTGTGAGCACCAAGCAAGTCACAGAACGACCCCTAGTCAAATTGTCACCTTTGTGTTTTGCAGGTACAGAACGCCATGAACTAACTTCTTGGAAGAGTTTTCCATCTGTTTTCAAGTTCTTCAGTGAGGCTGTAAAGGCGAAGAACAGCTTGGTGAAACCAACCCCAACACGGCGCTCCAACAGGATAAAATATGAAGAATTCTAAAAAGAGTGGAGGAAAAAAACCCACCACCACCAATGTGTTTGCTGCTTGTTTTCTGCAAGGAGTCTCCCAGCCCCTCATTAGATTGTTTTCTTCCTAGAGCACAGGGTCGTGATGTATACATCTAAATAGTGTTTTGCATTATTTCTAGATGAGTGCAACTGTCAAAGCAATATGGGTTCACTGGTTGTGCTTCCTGTGGGCTGTAACTTGGATTTTGTGCTGCCCATCAGTGTGCAGATTAAGGCTGACAGTGGTACTGCACACTGCAGCATGGTGCAACTCTAATTGCCCTGACATAGCCCTGCACCTAGCTGATGCCAAAATTTAACAGCTTCATTGCAGTCTTATTGCCTGCAGGTTATTTTGCAGCTTCCTTCTATTTTGAGACAGAACAAAATATGAATTACCCTTTTTTAAAAGACGGGCCTAACTCAAATGTGTTAACCAGCCTATGATTTTACACCTAGTAGCCTTCTCTTTCTCTAGCACCAAGCGGAATTGACTTCTAACTCTCTCATTTTTCTGCTGGCAAGAGTGTCCAAGAAGTTTGGCCCAGAATTCTAGAAAGGCTCCATTGTTGAAGATATTTTCTCTTGCTAGATCAATGGGATTATGTGTAGATCTTCTCTTCCTTTGGACAGCTCTACTTTAAAAAATGCCTATACATTAACAGGCTGGATCACACTGTGAAATATGACAGCAAAAAAAAAAAAAAAAGAAAAAAAAAAAGACAATCTGCATATTTTTTGTTAATTTTTAAACACAAAAATGCTTCCATTTTCATATGCTGGGTTTGTAATGACTTGCCATCCCATGGTTATTCTCTTTTCCCTAAACTCACAGTTCCCTACCCACTTTCCCAGTCTCTCTGACAAAGGCTGGCCAGCAGGGCACTTTCTATGGGGATTTCACACCATGCACAGGGAGTATGTGGCTGTAGCCATAACTGTTTTGTTAGGCATGTTTTCTCCACTAAAACTAAGGGAAAAGATGTGCTTGATAGCATGCACAGTGAGCAAGCACTCTAATTTTTGGTGTTGATAATACTAAATTAAAGTTGTCCTTTCTTTAATGGCCATGCCCACCTCACCACTGATGCTTTGGACCCAGTCCTGCCCTCTCCTCGTGCAGTGTGTCCAATCCTACAGCTGGGGCCAGAAGTGGTGGTGGGGAGCATTAAAACGAGACAATGCCGAAAACAAGGGCACCATCCTATGCCATGGAGCAAAAGCAGAAGTCCTCATAGTGAGGTGTAAAGGGAAAAACAGCTGGGTCTGGGCCTAAATCCTCCATATGTGTGCTCACAGCACCCACAGAGTGCTTATATCCCTACCTGCTCATACTGGCAGCCGGACTTCACTTCCCCAACTGCTGCTTCCTGTCACCTCATTGCATTTGAGCTCTGCCCTTGGGCAGGGGGACTTAGAGCAAACTCCTGGGGGGGGCATGCCTATGTGGAGGAAAGCGCAGTATCTATGCCTGGCAGATTTTCTTCCTGGAGGGGAACCTGTGAAGAATCCACCCCGGCCCCCTGGACCCTGTGTGTTCAGGGGTAAGGCGTGAGTTTACATGGAGTGGTTTGGGTGTCCGTGCTTCATCCCACAGCCAGAGAAGGTGCAGAGACCAGGGAAGTTTGTACATGCACACACCAGACCTGCCATTCTGCATCTTTGTGGAGGTGAAATGGACTCTCTAGGGTGCCCAAATATTGGAGGAGCAGATCTATTTTTTAAATTGATGATGAGAAACAACCTACAAACATTTTTACTGTAACACCGTTTTCTACAAAATTTTTCTTTACTGTGCCCTGGGCCCAGCTCACATAATCGCTCCTGTGGGGAGCTCTAGAGCAGAGGGGATCCTCACCACTGGTACTGCTCTGCTTGCAATGAACAAAAAAATAAATATGTTCTCTTCTCTCCTTCTTGTACACTTTGTGTCCTTGCACTGAGCTCCACAGGAGCCACTGTCTCTGGCGGGTAGGGTTGGGGTTGCATGGGCAGCAGCTCCACCAGCCTCAGAATACATGCAAGGGGGGTGAGTGTGTTTGCAAACAGGACCCCATACAGTTGCAGGGTTGGGGCTGGAAGGTGTTAGGGGGGTGAGGATCATTTATTACGTGGAGTAGGCTGCGTGTCCAGCCCTGTGGCTCAGCCCACATGAGCATGGGCTTCTCTCTGCACACCCCACATCATCCTTGGAAGCCTCATAGGCACCATCCTCTCCCCTTTAGCTGTTCAGAAACATGAAACTGTAAAATTACACCAAGAAAGGAGTGTTTTTGGAGAGGGCCTTTTGCAGGGGGTATAGGCTACAGATGGAGGAGGCAGTATGTCCAGCCTCAGCTGCAGAGGGTACAGGGTCTGCAGGAAGAGATGGAGGTGTTGGAGCATCCCAACATGTGCCACTACGTTAGTGTCACATGGAAAGGTGACAATGGTAACCCTGCAGCACACTAAGGAGGGATGAGTGTTGATTTAGCCTATTCCTTTGGACTGATGTTTTTAAAGATACACACCACTAGCCTCTCAGGCCATAAAATCTTTAGGACACAGAGGTCTGGTGTCAGCCTTCTCCTGATATCTGACATGGTGCAACAGCCTCTGCCCTAGGTAGCTTCGGAGCTACAAGTACAAAAGTGACCAGAGAAAGGGAAAAAAAAAAAAAAAAAAAAAAAAAAAAAAAAAAAAAACCACACAACAAACCCCCAAACCAAAAACAACAACAGAAAACCAACAAAACTGACCCTACAACAGGATCTAGGAAAACTCCCAGCTCCGTGCCACCCAAAAGGTTTGCACACCATCGTGCGAGTCAAAATGCCACCATTAAAGTGGTGAAAGCAGTGCTTCATTGTCAAGAACAGAGAGCAAGAAAGAAGTGTTCCTAGCAGGAAACAGCCAGCAGACCCCCAAACAAAGTAGGGCTGTGTGGAAAAAGAAAAAAGGAGGGGGTGAGGGTAAGCAAAGACATCCCTCATCTTCACTGTGCAGTGCACTGGTAACAGTAACAGTTCTCACAGTGTGATTCTCCCAGGCTCAGAAGAAGCTGCTGCTTTTCATGGAAATGTGCATTTTTCCTCTGTCTCTGAGAAACATCACTTATTGTGAATAGTGGAGTATTTTTCCCCTCCAGAAATTTCATTCAGAAGTACAAATGAAAAGTGTCACATCTAAAACCGCATGGAGCTACATATTGCACCATTCTCAAGTCAACCAAACCAAAAATAACCTGCCAAGAATGTGTACATCCATCGTACACCAGGGTAGAGCTGTCTTACAGAGTGGAAGGATGCATGTGTGTGTATGTGTGTGACTGCATGCATTCATGAATATCTCGATCTCACAGGGGTGTGTGTGTGTGTGTGCATGTGTGTGTGCGTCTGCATTATGTTGATGTACTCGACAAAGTGTGAAAAATGTACTTCTAGAAAAACTTGAAAGGAGATGTCATTTATCATTGTATCATCATAATACCACAAATTTCACTTTTCTGTTCCATTTTGGATTGCATGTGTTAGAGAGTACTTCACTAGATCAGTGACAGCGCTTTATTTGCATAATTATATGCTCTGGTCTGAAGAGAAAACTAACCCCCAAATTTCATGGGTCACCAAACCGCAACAATCAATGTTTTATCACATATGCTAAGCAAAACCTAAGGAGCTATATGAAGTTTCTTGTGGATTTTTTGCTCCTCAGAAAATTAAAGATGTGCCTCCTGAATAGATGCAAAATCTTTCCAAGCTCTTTGTAGCTGAATTCCATTTGAAGAGAAAACTAGAGATTAGCTCGTAGATCTGGATTTCAAACCCACTAGCATTCTTACTTCAAAGTGGATTCAGACAAGCAGCTTTACTGCATCTCTAAATTTTGCCATCCTAAGTAATGTCATTTAAATTGCGGCAATCAAAAAAGTAAGCTAAAAGAAAAAAAAGTTAGTCAAATGTAAAAAGTATAATCACCCCCTCTCTTATCAAGCCCATAATGACCAGTGGGTTTAATTCCATTTATTCTGTGGAGTTTCATTGTTTCAGCTGGGTGCTATCCATGTATGAAGATATGGATATTTGGTATATGTAGAAAACCCTTTCCTGAGCTGCAGAATTTGTTCTGGTCTATCAGCTGCACAATAACCACACACTCCAGTTAGGACATACATACTCCAAGTTTCCTTCTCAATCAAAATGCCTTATTATGAGGAGGAAAAAACCTGGGGGTGGGAACTGACTGGCAGTGAAGATCCCCCATGTCCTCCTCTTCCATTCACACTAGTACTGCTGAAAAAGTTTAGCTCTTTTTTTAAGTGAATTTAATACAAAATAATAAATATAGTGCAATATAATAATTCACTCAAAGTACAGGAAGACCTCTTAGAAGTGTTGATGAGCAGCACCTATCCCAGGGGACATGCCACCCACACTTCACTGCAAACAACCCAGAAAAACCCCCAAAATCTTCTCTGGGCTTCAAGCCATAACTTTACTGGTAGAAGTTCTCATGGGTTGCTACCTTGCAGTTGGGTCCCTCTAAGCTCTTGAGAAGAATAAACTTTTATAAAGGGGCCTATTTCAAGTAACAAGGCCTTCGGTGATCTGACCCCAGGGAGAGCAGTGCCTGGGAAGGAAGGAGTGTGCGTTGTGTAGGTTAAGAACCTGGAGAGGAGCACTTCTGCTATCCTATCTGTACTTTTTTTTTTTTTTTCCTGACTTTAACATCAACTCCAGAAGCCTTCCAGGGGGAAATGGGTTCCCAGCACAGACTGGCACCTGAGAGGTTCAACTTCTCACATTTGACTCCTGATTGATCTCCAAACACCCGCTCCAGGCAGACACCAGCTTTGTGCCACCTCCTTGCCTCGCAGGAGGAACAGGAACAAAGTGAAGCATGAGTGGAAAATAAAAACAGTGCTAAAACACAAGTCTCCTCACCACCCTTGTCTGACTGCTGGCATGGGATTCTGTGGGATGCAGGGACAGAGAGAGAAGAGCACACTCTGAAGCATCTCTTACCCCTCCCCACTGTCTGCATTCCTCCTCTGGAGTCAAGTAAATATGAATATTCACAGAGGATTGGTCTGCAGGGTGGTTTGTCCTAATGGAGACAATAGCATCAGTTATTTCCCACTAAATTGCAGCACAGGAGAGATCTGACCCCTCTGAGGAGAGGCCTAAGTCATCTCCTTTTGCTGTTTCCATTTCTCTTTGCTCATACCTACCTAATCCCCTAATGCCTGGTAAAGGGCTGTTTCAAGATTCTGCTTTTCTTTTAAGATTCTATCTCTGCTACTGTTACATAAGCTCATCTCCCCTCCTCCTGAGACTGCTTTATGCCTTCTCCTTCCATATCAACTTGCTAAAAAATTGTTTTCTATAGTAAAGCCCCTGATGTGGACGGTCCTCCATGTCTCCCCACAACATGCAGATACAAAAATAACATACTCCATAATAATGTGTCCAGGTCTGTTTGCCTATGGCTTGTGGAGAAAGGGCCTAACATCACCAGATATTTGCAAATACTGATCTGTCTGTTCGCAGTGAGCCAGGTGTTGCCAGTTTTGCCAATGGCTGAGGGTGATCTGCCTCTCACATATGTCTTGATAGGTGCTTCACATGTTGGTGGGGTATTTTATTCTTTGGGGGTTTGGGCTTATTTGGGTTTTTTTTGTATGGTGATGGCTACTTGGATTAAAAATCGTTTCCTTTGTACGTTCTTCCAATTTATCATGTATCCTCTTGGAGGGGGGGGCTGGAAAGGGGGATGCAGAACTGCGAGCAAGGAGCACTGCATGTGCCTATTGCAGTGTTTCCCGTGGGCTCCCCACACCACTAAGAAGGTGCTGTGATCAAAGCCAAGGCGGTTCCCGACGAGCGGCGGCGCGGTGGGGCAGGCACCAAGGGGCAGGGTGCCGTTCTTTCCAGAGCCCGGAGTTCTGTCCCCGCTTTGCAGGTGGCGGCAGCGCCCGGCGGCTCTTGGGCGGGCGCAGCACCAAGGACAGCGCCCGCCCAGGGCTCAGGGGGTCCCCGCGACCCCCGCCGCCCCTCACCGCCTCCAGGGAACGCTCGCTGCCGGGCAATGCTCAGCGCCGCCATCATCTTCCAGGAGTGCCCAGACCGCCGCGTTCCGCCGGGGAGGTCCCGCGGGGCCCCCCTCGGGGAGGGATCGTGGAGGGGGACATCACGCCATTCCTCGGCCGCTTGGCTGTCGTGACATACCTGCAGTCATGGGGCTAGCGCGGAGTAGTAATTCGCTCGCCTGTGGATTCCGGACAAAGGGGATAGGAAAAAACGAGGAGAAAGTTAATTTCCCGGTTCACTTCTCCAGGGTGGTGAGCAGGAACCGGGGGTGCTTGGGCTGTGTCGGGTCTGTGCCCCTCGACGGGGCCCAGACCCCTCGCATAAGGTTTTCTCCACTGTTCCGCGCTCCAGGGAACACGGAGCTTCGCTCCCGCGGCCCTGCGCAGCGCCCCGGAGTGCAGGGGTTCTCTGTGGAAGGGGGTGGTCATGGGCCCCCCGCAACTCCGGTTACGCCACCCAGGGTGAGGTGGAGCGGCCGGGGACCGGGAATCCGTTTGCTCCGTGCATCCTCCCCGCAGCCCTGCGGCCGCTGCTGGCCGCCGTCCCTTTGTCGCTTTGGGGCTCCCGGGGGCTGATCTCGAGGTAGCCGCCAGCGCTCCCCCGGCCTGATACAAGCCTCCATCAACTCAGACCTGGGAGGAGGGCGTGCGGACTCCCCTCAGGGGCCGGGAACCGCGGCGGAGGCACCAGCGCGTACCTGTGCTGCGAACGCGCTGCGGGAGGCTCTGGTTTGTTTTGGCTACACAAACCCCCTCCAACACTTCCCACAGCGCGGGGTCCTTCGCCCAGGAATTCTGATATAGAAGGAGACGCTTGCACCAAAGTCCTTCGCCACTCACCCGCGA